TACAAAAGTTTTTTTTTTCTCCTGCTGATAATAGCTCATCTTAACTAATTAGCCTCTCACAATTTGTATGGCAACTTCCAACTTATCTGTATGTGTGTGTGTATATATATGAGCATAAGCTTTTGTGGGCTACAGCCCACTTCATCGGATACATAGCATGGAACATATAGTAAGAAGATTTATATATATAAAAATCTTCTTACTGTATGTTCCATTCTGTGCATCCGATGAAGTGGGCTGTAGCCCATGAAAGCTTATGCTCTAATAAATTTGTTAGTCTCTAAGGTGCCACAAGTCCTCCTGTTCTTCTTGAGACAAAATAGTGATTCTCTAATAAAGTGGGAATTCTCCATCAGGACCTCATCAGGGCTGGCCTCTGCTTGACCCTTCTGCAGCTGACAGCTGTCAGGTAGATGCTGCACAACTGTAGCCTTTCCTAAAATTGAAATCTGTTCCTCTTGCATACCTATATGCAGATGGGAAATATGGCTCTGTGTTTACTCATCATTAAATGGTTAATTTTGCAGCTACATCTAAGTTATTTTTTCCATTATTCTTTCTTGTTGAAGGGTTCACATGTTTTCCTATTTTCATGTTATCTTTTCAGTGGAAGAATAGTTGGTTTCTATAATGCCTGCCCACCTCTTCTGGTATATAGAAAGAGAAGAAGTTCAATTGAGGGAGATCTGGGAATTGCTGTAATGAACCAGAACAGATATAGCATTCCCAGAGAGAGAACCTTGATGAGTAGAAAGATAATATTCTGTTGAATGTGGAGTCCTTGTATGAACAAATTGCCTATTTGTTCATAGAAATCTAAGGAATGAATACACTTTTTGCCTAAATAGAATATAATATATATAAAAATAGAATATATGCTTTATTATGAGTCATGATCTGTAGGCCAGCTAGAAGCCTCCTCTTCATAAATTCATTCCCAGCATTTCATTTTGCAATGCTGGCTAGTGCTGGTTAAATACCACACACGTTATTTGTGTTCAGGCATGGCAAGGTCATTCCCTTATTCATGGGGGTCTCTTTATTCACAAGTGTTCAGACAGCTGCCCATTTATTTATGGCAGTTAGCCAATTCCAAGAATTTTATAGATTGCATTATAAATGATCATTCAGCCAAATGTTTGCACTGGATCATCTGCTATTTGCTTTTTGTTTTTATTTACTATTTCCTGTTTGTTGTTCTCTCATTTTTAAAAAGTTTCAGTCCATCAGGAAGCAGAAATACTTGTGACTTAAATGATGAGTAACAATATGCCACAAACAACAGAATGCAAATAATCCAAGTGAACAGTTTGGAACTGTTCAAAGAGGAAGGCTGGACTTGTGTACATGACACCAGACTGAGGTTTTGGAGATCTGGGTTCTGTTCCTGGCACTGCTACCTAGGGGTGAGCATTAAGAGAAGCCAGTTTGCTGGAGCTGTGAGCATGCCATGTGCCAACAGCTTCATAAGTGAATGGAGAGATCAAGGACGGCATAAAGACACAATATGATAAGAAAACTATATTCTCTATAAAAGGTAGAGAAACCGGAAATCTATAACTTACATTATTTTTTATTGACAGGTTTCAGAGTAGCAGCCATGTTAGTCTGTATCCATAAAAAGAAAAGGAGTAATTGTGGCACCTTAGAGACTAACAAATGTATTAGAGCATAAGTTTTCGTGAGCTACAGCTTACTTCATCGGATGCATACAGTGGAAAATATAGTGGGGAGTTTTTATAAACACAGAGAACATGAAACAATGGGTGTTAACATACAGACTGTTACAAGAGTGATCAGGAAAGGTGAGCTATTACCAGCAGGAGAGCGGGGGTGAGGGGGAACCTTTTGTAGTGATAATCAAGGTGGGCCATTTCCAGCACTTTACGAGAACAATAGGAGGGGAAATAAACAAGGGGAAATAGTTTTACTTTGTGTAATGACACATCCACTCCCAGTCTTTATTCAAGCCTACATTAATTGTATCCAGTTCACAAATGAATTCCAATTCAGCAGTCTCTCCTTGGAGTCTGTTTCTGAAGTTTTTTTTGTTGAAGAATTGCCACTTTTAGGTCTGTAATCGAGTGACCAGAGAGATTGAAGTGTTCTCCAACTGGTTTTTGAATGTTATAATTCTTGACGTCTGATTTGTGTCCATTTATTCTTTTACGTAGAGACTGTCCAGTTTGGCCAATGTACATGGCAGAGGGGCATTGCTGGCACACGATGGCATATATCACATTGGTAGATGTGCAGGTGAACGAGCCTCTGATAGTGTGGCTGATGTGATTAGGCCCTATGATGGTGTCCCCTGAATAGATATGTGGACACAGTTGGCATTGGGCTTTGTTGCAAGGATAGGTTCCTGGATTAGTGTTTTTGCTGTGTGGTGTATGGCTGCTGGTGAGTATTTGCTTCAGGTTGGGGGGCTGTCTGTAAGCAAGGACTGGCCTGTCTCCCACAATCTGTGAGAATGATGGGTCATCCTTCAGGATAGGTTGTAGATCCTTAACGATGCGCTGGAGAGGTTTTAGTTGGGGCTGACGGTGATGGCTAGTGGTGTTCTGTTATTTTCTTTGTTGGGCCTGTGCTGTAGTAGGTAACTTTTGGGTACTCTTCTGGCTCTGTCAATCTGTTTCTTCACTTCACCAGGTGGGTACTGTAGTTGTAAGAACGCTTGATAGAGATCTTGTAGGTGTTTGTCTCTGTCTGAGGGGTTGGAGCAAATGTGGTTGTATCGGAGAGCTTGGCTGTAGACAATGGATCGTGTGGTGTGGTCTGGATGAAAGCTGGAGGCATGTAGGTAAGTATAGTGGTCAGTTGGTTTCCGGTATAGGGTGGTGTTTACGTGACCATCGCTTATTAGCATTATAGTGTCCCGGAAGTGGATCTCTTTTGCTCTAATAAATTTGTTAGTCTCTAAGGTGCCACAAGTACTCCTTTTATTATTTTTATTCAAATACAAAATTTGAAATGGATTCTTCTGAGGGTTACCCCCAAAGAAAAGTTAATTCATGCTGTGAGGATGGTGACATGGAGTTTTCTGGTGAAGGAAGTTTCATGCTAGTTTATTCCCCTGCTGGTGTTTGTTTAAATGCAAATTGATCTGTTTCCTGTAATCTCTTCCCCTTGCCATGATGCTGAGTAATTATCTCCTCCCCTTATACTCCTATTTACCTTCTCTGTAAATTGCATTCCCATTGTCTCTTAATGTACCTCCAAAATACCTTCCAGAAACCACATTCCTTTGTCTTGGGTGGGGTAACTTTAGCCCTGCGTGGCAGACACACTTTGATAACATAATGTTGAATATGTTTGTAATTTTGAATTTGTCCTCTATACATGATGCAATAATTAAGGCTGCGACTTTGTCACAGAAGTCACAGATTCTGGATTCCTGCGCACAGGCCGCTGCTGGGGCGGTCTTGGGCTCCCGCACAACCACTGCATGACCCCACTGAGCAGCAGAGTTTGGTGTGGGAAGGGGTTGGGGCACGGGATGGGGTGAGGCGGGCTTTGGGCAGCGCTTACCTGGGGGGCTCCCCAGAAGCAGCAACATCTCCCTTGCTCAGCAGCTAGGTAGAGGTTTGGCCAGGCACCTCTGTGTGCTGCCTCAACCCAGAGCACTTGTTTTGCAGCTCCCATTGGCCAGGAACCACGGAGCCTGCAGGCTGAGGCTGGCCATGCCTCCGCCTAGCACCTGAGCGAGGGGGATGTTGCCGCTTCTGAGGAGCGCCCCCCCAGGTAAGTGCCACCCAGAGCCCGCCTCACCCCCTCCTGTGCCCTAACCCCCTGCCCCTCCCACACCCAAACTCTGCTGCTGCTGTGGGGGGAGGCGCGGAGCCAGGTAGGGAGCCTGCTGGTCACTGCCCACCCCTCCCCCAGCACCAGCGGGGGTCCTGGGCCGCCCGCCGCTGTCCTCCTCGAGCACCTGAGACGCCCTCCCCCAGCACCCGCAGGGCCCCCGGGCAGCCCCCGCCCCACCCCCAAGTTTTATTCACTGGTATTTTAGTAAAAGTCATGGACAGGTCACAGGCCGTGAATTTTTGTTTACTGCCTGTGACCTGTCCATGACTTTTACTAAAAATATCCATGACTAAAATGTAGCCTTAATAATAATATCAATGATCAGTATGTTGTTCACTTTCTACTGATGTCTTACATGACACCTTCTAGATACAGGTTATGACAGTAGTGAGCTGGGATACATTGAATGGGTCAGACCAGCTGAAACTCACTACCAGATAACAGTGAGTCCCTTGCTCTCTTGCACTGGGATGCTGTTAAGGTCACAGTATGCTGCAACAACTGTCCCCTCTATGCTGCAGCAAGGTATTATACTGTGCCATGGTAAGGGTTGACTTTAATGGGCCCCACTATACGAATTGTCACTTCTTGGTATTGGGTTAAACAGTTGGCTCATCACATCCTTACCTATGGCACTAGAAAGTTAAAAGGTAAGTAAATGTGAGAGATGTGGTCTTGAAATCATCTATTAACCTTGTACTACTGAATGTTTAAAATTGTAAATGAAGGGAGGGCATGACAGTTTGCACAATGAAGCCAAGGTTAACATTTGCCATATGAATTTCTACTCTTCCCTCCTATCTGAACATCTGGTTTTCAAGCTCTGTAGCTAGGAAACAGTTATTGTGGTTCAGACCTGAGTCCTCATGCTCATGCCTGAAATGCCAGACTGCTGTTTAAATTCTTAAGTCATGAGGCTGAATCTAAGGTAACAGGCCTAACTAACAGCAGCACAATCAGAAAGAGAGAGAGAAAATAAGATTTACCACCCCCCCACACCAAAAAAAAAAAAAAGAGTGGGTGTTTGATATCCAGAAGTCATTCCTGGATACCCTAAAGCAAATACAGAAATCTAATGTGCCAGACATTCATTTTGTTTTTTGTTTTTCTTTCCAGAGTTTATATAAAAAGCACTGATGTAAATGAAATAACATAATAAGACAGAAGTATTTATTCGGCTCTCTTGCCCTCAGGTGGTTGTTCCTTTGATGAACACTACAGTAACTGTGGTTATAGCGTGGCACTGGGGACCAATGGATTTACCTGGGAGCAGCTCAACACGTGGGAAAAGCCAACTATGGATCCAGCTGTCCCGACTGGTAAGTATGGAGCATTGACTGAAAAGGCCATTGACTGAATGTTTGTATTTGGATGGGATTCCCTGTGAGAATTTTTCTACATGTGAGCTCTGTGCTGACTTGTATGGGTTGGAATTCATCGATTTATATGCATCTGGCTTTTGTGTTAAAAATAACCAAGTAGAGGAATGCATAACAATTAGAAATGGGGAAAAAACTGGGGCAATTTGGCACAACAGAGACATTTGGCATTTTTTTGTCAGACCATAAATAAAGTGTGTTGGATCCATTTTATTTCAACCCTCAGTTGTGGAGAGAGGTGAGTTTCAGAAAAAAATGGTCCAGGGTTTGGTCAGTCTTTGGACCTGATCCGGAGAGAAGCAAAGTGCTTTTTTCCCCAATTGAAGCCAGAGGAGATGAAAGTGCTGAGCATGTCACTGGAGGTGCTCAACACCTTGTAGGATCAGTCTCTTTGGGAAGTTCAGGGATGTCAGACTTTCTAACAGCTCATTACACTTTAACTTCAGTGCTGTGAATTAGCAATCCGTGGTGTTTGGGTATACAGTATAAAGGTGACAAATGCTGGGTCCCTGTGAAGGATGAGAGTATTCTAATGGGATAAACTGGACCTGGACCCACCTGACTAGTCTTGGGTTCCAGGAGACAAATTATGTTCCAGTGTTTGAGAATGTCAGCAGAGATAGAGACTAATAACATAAGTTAATGATTTATCAATGGGTACAGGCATCCAAGTCCTCTGTTTTCGAGGACATCTAAACTGGAAGTTCTTCTCTGGAAAGTGATCTGATGCTTCAGCATCACTCCCAGAAGTACTGCTTCCTCTTGGCAGTTAGAATTTGGTAAGCTGGGCTGTCAAATAAGTTATTTCCCAGGGAATAGTGATTTTTGGGTGTTCAAGTTGACACTTTAAAAGTACCTGATTTTCAGGGAGTGTTCTGCAGCCACCTTCTGAAAATCAGCCATGTTAGATGTGTAACATTTGACACCCAAAATCACTGATCACTTTTGATGATTTTGGTCTCTGATCCATTTCGCCAACACGAGAAGTCATTGTTTCCACTTAGCATTGTATTTGGACAAGGTAAGCATGAGAAAAATGGGAAAACTAATCCAGAATGTTGTCCAATTGAGGGATTTTTATCCCTGCAGTGATTAGAATGAGGGGGACCACAGCTCCCACTCCTCTGCTAGAGGAAGAGTAAGGTCCCCAACAGCTCCTTCTTTGGCTGGTACAGTCATAGCTCCTCATTGTGTTTTAGTCTACTTCAGTCACTGGTGTTGAGGCCAATTCTCATCTCTGTACACAGTTGTTGCCATTAGAAAGTAAAAATGCCACAGCAACCACAATGACTGAGCAACTCCTCCATTGCTTCCAGTTTTCAGTTATGCCCTGGTTGTGCCTTGTTTTCAGTTTAGATTGGAAGCTGTCTTTTAGTGTCTGTACAGCACTCACCACACCTGATCTTGGCATGCTACTGTAGTACAAATAAATTGTGATAACAGATACAGCAGTTTTCCCATTCCAAATGCAAGGAAATATTGCTTTATTTTGGATATAACTGTGCATAATTGTTAGTAAAAGTAGTTAGTAACTTTCTTCTGGTAAGCATGCTATGCAATCATGCAAGACCTATTTTCAATCTCAGACACTTAGGCTTTGGCACCCTAAGTGGGACATCTTGTTCTGTACTCATGCTGGAAAATTTGGGCCAAGTATCTCTCTACGTATAGACTTACACACACTGGGGACCTGTATCAGTCCATTTATAGATAACATAACCCTGAATGGTGCGTGCATGTCCATGTACACAAACAAACTAACCTGTACTACACCATGGTATTTTGAATAGCAGAAGAAAAATTAGTACTATACCCTTGTATTTTTTGTTACCATGATGGTATTTTGGGCCATGTCCTAGCTTTACAGCAGGAGGTGCCACATTGTGTAATCTTTGGAGGCATCCAGAGTCCATGGAAAGAGTGACTTTTACCAGATGGGTACAAGATTTGTTCATCAATAGCACTTTTTATGTCTGCTCTCATGCGGTGGCAAGGTGTAGCGCCACTCTAGTTGAGCCTGCAGCAACATTGCCGTGATTAATACTGTTTTTATGTACATTCTGTGTCTGGTTTCCCGACCACCAGCAGGCCTCACTGATTTCAGCGGGAGCTGTGAGTGCTCTTCTGAAACAGATGCTTAATCTATTGTGCTTTTTATTTCCATGCTGACACTCTGCTACCAGGGTCTCCATCCAAAGACAACTTTCTGCTCTTTATTCTTTGAATCAAAATGCCCCAAAAGATTCAAATGCTCCATCATCAACGTTAAAGATTTTTGACATTTTATTTTTGATCATTACTAGCAAATAATATTGTTGGCCATGAATTCTGTGATAAATTGCCCAAGACTGGAAACAAAGGGTTAAGTTAATTTGAGAATTAAGACCCCAGATGTTGGTTGTTTTATTAAGTAAATAAATGTTATCTTTTAAAAATCTGACTGAGATAAGTCATGGGCTACCCATCCTCAGATTTAGGTAGGACTTCTAGTCCACCTCCTTGTATTGTAGCAGGAGAGATTATAACAAAATCTTCCTTAACTGATGGATGTCTAATCAAGCCTTAATATCCCCAGTGAGGGGGATTTTGCTGCCTTTTTGCAACTTGTTCCACTGACTATCTGAGTTATAAAATTTTTCCTACTACTTACCCTGAATTTTCAATTTTGTGGCTCCATCACATTATTTGTTGTTCTGTTCTTGTTGACTAGTGCGAACAATCACTTTACAACCTCCCTTTATGTTCTATAGACAGTTAAGCCTCCATTTCTCAGGACTCAATGTGACCCAGTCCTTTTAATCTTTCCTCACACAGTATGTCTTATTTCCCTCCCTACGCCCCCAAGCCTGTTTCCATTGCTCTTGCTTTCCTCTCCGCTCTCTCCAGTGTATGCAATGTCTTTTTGGAATTGTTGCCCAAAACTGAACCTTGTTTACCATGCATTTATTCAATACTCCGTAGGGGAGCACTGGCAGGACAATGGTTTCAACTCTATTCTACATGCACTGGCCACAGAAAACAAGCCTATTCTATTGCTTCTCCTTCTCTTCCAGTGCAGGGTGACATGCAGTCTCTGTCCCCTCCAACCTCCCTCTCCCTCTTGAGTACTAGTATTAGATGGTGCTGGAGGAATACAGTCCTTGAGCTTATGAGATGCATGCGTACACCTCTCTCTGTATGTTTCTTAGAGTCAAACATTTCTGTAAAAAAAAGTGTCCTGCATTATGGTCAGCCAGGCAAAAATAAAAGCCTTTTACCAGACTGCGACACTTGCAGCATTCCCAGCACCTTGGACATGTCTGGCCCAGTAGCTGCTGAATCATAATAATAATGAAAGTATTTAACATTTTGTGGGTTCAAAGCGCTTTACAAGCATTAACTAATTAACTCCAGTGAAAACCTAACCAGGGCTTATTAGAGTGCGGTAATTACTTTAATTGTATTACGTACGATTCCACCAAGAATACAGAATCAATATGGCATGCACTTCTTGCAGCAGTGTCACATTGTTGACACTGATTAAGTGTTAGATTTGCTATTACCCCCGGTTCATTCTGTGGAGCTTTTACGTTCTCCTTTGAGTGATTATGCACATATACATTCCAGTACTGGTGTGTGTGCATCCAATACCCATGAGTCAGAGACTTTTGCCAGTAGTACCACTAGGCGGCAAGTGCCCCATATCTCTTTGTGTGCCCATCTGAGGGCATAAATGGGACAAGTCTGTCACCTTCCCCTCAGTTCCTTCTCACTGCCTGTTACAAAAGCTGGAGTTCCGCATGGTGTTTCCTTCAATTAGCCAGCGTTTCAAAATTTCCCCACCAGGACTAAAAATCAGAGGGATTTATGCCTGAAAGTTCGCCTTCTGAAAGAGGCGTTGCATCCCATGTCAGAACTGAGTCCCGACCATGATGTAGCGGATTCTGAATCCATGACAAGCACCCCTCCAGCTCCCCACAATTCAAAGTGAAGGTTTGATGCTGACAAGCACTTAAAGCCTTGGTTTTCTCCTAAAAGGACTTTCAGTAAGTCCTCTGGTACCTTTTCAAGGCACCAAAGACAGCATTCACCGGGCCCATCTGAGGTTTCACTGTAAACTCATGCTCCTTCGGGGCTATCGAGACCAGTGTCTTCACCTTTACCAGATCCTTCTTCAACATTCCAGTCAATCCAGTCTATTTCAGCAACGCCAGATGAACACTTACCTTTTTTGGTGTTCTCCACTCTGTGGGCTTTCTTGCTTGCAAAAGATCTTTTTTGTCTCCTCCTACCAGACTCTCCATTGCTACAATCAACTCTGGTTAGGGGAACTTCAGTGTCTGCAGCCCCGCCTGCATGAGCAGCACCTTTGGCATCGTCAGCAGACAGCAACATGTCTCTGCACCAGCATGCCAGCAGCGCTCACCTCATTGGCATGCTGACTGCTTCGGCCTTTGCTTTTTTTGTATCCCTGGGTGTCTCCCCTACCCAGATCACCTCAAAACAATAAGGGACCTCTCCTCTCTTTTCTGAAGAAACTTATATTTCTTCTTTGGACTCTGAAATGGAGGAATCTGCATCACCTTCATGATCTTTTAAATCCTCTTATAGATCTTGTACTAAGGTTACAGGTACTAAGGATGAGGAGTGGTTTTCTAATAAAGACGCACCAGTATGGTGTCCCTCACTATGGGTGTCTCAGACATTGCAGTATCCCCCATGGCCTTATTGGTCTTGGGTTGCTCTGAGGCTATCTAGAACGCCATCACAACCACTGTCTAGGAGGTCTCCCCCTCAGGTTCAGGATTCTGTCATCATTCCTCCACCCACTGAATTGGACCCTGTGGAGGAAGGAGAAATAATGGAGGAACCCCTAGACGTTGCCCCCTGTAATTTCATCATCTTGGCCAAGTGAAGACATCACCTCAGAATTGACATCTGCCCTCCAGGGGACTTCAGTG